AAAAAAAAAAAAAAAAAAAAAAAAAAAAAAAAAAAAAAAAAAAAAAATCATATAAAATTCATATTATTTTTGTTAAATATTTTATGTTCTTATGTGAAAAGAACATTGCTACTTTTGTTTGTATCTGCTCACTTTATTTGAATAATCCAAATTTTTTGTTGAATAGCTTCCTATAGATTTTATTTTTACTAAATGTTATAAATACAAATGTGTGTAGAATAAAAAAAAAAAAACAAACTGAATAATGTATTGAATAAAAAAATAAATAATATATAAATAACTTTCTTGTTTTAATTGTTCTGCATGTTACATTTAAAATATCAAATTATTTTTTGAATGAAAAAAAAAAAATAAATTATGCTCTTATCCTTATTTTGCTAAAAGGGAATTATCACATCATAAATTACCCTTAAATATTATATTTTTATTAAAATATATTATATACATTTTGTAAATTTAAAAATATAGATATAATATTATTTATATAAGCTCATAAAAACGTTTTTTAAAAAATAAAAATCCTGTCTAATCATTTTATATTTTAATTCTTTCCTATGAATTATAATTCAAAATTTTATATAATACATAAATAATTAATTTATTATATCTATAATATACCTAACTAAATTATAATAAAAGTAACCATATAAATATTTATTATGTAGTATTATTAATGTTATTATATACATTTTTTAAGCATATTAATAATAAATAAAAAAAAAATAAATTTTCATTAGGAATAGAACATTGAAGAATTTTTAAATGAAGTAAAAAAGAATAATTCTCTATTAAATAAGTACACTATTTTTTTTATCTATTTAGAAATATACATTAAAAAAGAAACGTTTTCACATCTTGATTTCTTAATTTTAATAATCTCCTATTATATTTCACAAAAATAATTATATTTACAAATTTTATATTAAAAAGAAATATTAGAAAAATAAGAATACATTTTTATCATTTAAAAAAAATAAAAAGAAATTATGTAGAAATTTTTATTCCCATGGGATTAATGTGGATTAAGTGACACTTGTTTTTATATAACTGTTATTTTTAACGTACTTCTTTTTTTTTTTTATAATAAAAAGAAATGCTTTTAAAAATGTAATGTTATTTTTGCTATATGTAAAAAGAAAAAAAAAAAAATTTGCATTCAGAAACAAATTTTTTCATTCTGATACTTTAGTCTTTTATTTATATTTTTTTTTTTTTTCTTTTTAATAATAAATGTAATGTTTGTTATAAGTATAAAAAAAGTGAAGAAAATTCCAATATTGTAATATGAAAAGTTATAAAAATTTTGTAAATACAATTATTTCAAACGAATATATAAAAATAAAGATTTTATTTATAGATACTTTATAGTATTCAAATTATTTTATTTATAATTACCATTTAATAATAATACATTTTGTATTAAAAAGAAAATAATTCATGATAATAATAACATTTTTCTCTAGTATTTTCAAACACCAAAATTTTCAATGTAATTTTTGACAAATTTAATTTAAAACATTTCAAAAAATATATTTTAGTTTCAATATAATTGTTTATATAAAAATATAATTAATTAAACCTAAATTTTATTTTATTAATTCATAAGTTTATTTAGTTAAAACATAATTTTATTAAACTTATTTAAGTTAAACATTATTTTAATGAATGTAACTTTATTTTACCAAATAATATAGAAAACCTTTAATTAATTTCATATTTTGTTAATCATGTTTCCCTAAACTTTTTTTTACTCTTTTCATTATTTTTAATTTGAAGCCAATTTTTTTTTTTTTTTTTTTTTTTTTTTTTTTTTTTTTTTTTTTTTTTTTTTTTGTTATTGTAGATCGATAATTTTTAAATAATTTAAAATGCTTATAAAAATTATATTCTTAAAAATTATTTTGTAATATAAATTATATTTTTTAAAAAAATAGATTACTGTTAAAAAAAGAATCCTTTTTTTTTTTTTCAAGACATTCTCTTTAGGAAAAATCATATTATTAAACATTATGGAAAATAAAATAATAGACTTCATATATTTTCAGATAATTACAAATAAATAAAATTTTTTTTCTTTTTTTCTTTTTTTTTTTTTTTTTGATATTTGTATCATTTAAATGTTTTAGATATGATAAACATTACAAAATAGAAAACTCTATAAAAATAATATTTTTACATAGAAAAAAAATGTAATAATAACTTTTTTGCTAAATTTTTTTTTTTTTAATTTTTAATATTCTGTTTTATTCTTATCTTATTATGCTTTTTAAATATAATTTAAAAGTTTTTGTCTTGTTTTATTTTAATATTTCTGTAGATTAAAAGTAAGAATAAAATGTATCCTTTATATTATGAAAAAAAGATTATAAAAAAATTAATACAATACGATGCGTTAATATTATTAGCAGATGGATTTAACGAATTAAATATTCTAGCACTTTTTATTTTTTATTACCAAAATAAGAGTTTATGGTATGATAATCCTATAAATAATAAAAATATTTTCTTTGATTTATTTAAATTAAATATAAACAGAATAAGTTATGATAATGAAGAAAATAAAAAGGATACAAATTATTCTGAAAAGCTTGATGATTATAATGAAAAAAGTGAACATATAAAGGACACCTTTAAAAATGATGAAAATGAAAATACCTTTGATCAAATAAAAAATGATAATAATGAAAACTGCAACTTAAATAATATAGGAAATAAAAACAAATTAATATTTATATTAAATGTAACACCTAAAGAATATAACTTATTTTTGAAATATCAAATCCAGTTATATGAAGAAATTAGTAAACTTGACAAATTATTTAATAACAGTGTTAAAATAAACTATCTAAAAACTGAATATATAAGGAATCAAAAATCAAATGAAAGAATTGAAATGTATATAAAAAGAGGAGTATATTTTATATCATCAAATGTTTTATTAATAGATTTATTAACATTTAAAATAATCCCTGAAATTATTGATGGTATTTTTATTTGTAAAAATCATAAGCTTATTTGTAGTACGAAAGAAGTATTCATTATAGAAATATTTAGAAGGAGAAATAAATTTGGTTTTATTAAAGGAATAAGTAATAATAAAAAATTAATAAATAACCAACATATTTTAAATATTTCCCAAAAATTATTCATGAAAAAAATATACTGTTATCCACGGTTTCATAAAAATGTTCATATTTCATTAAATAATAAATATATACAACCTAATATATATGAGTTAAATTTAGATTTACCTATTGACACAAAAAAAATTGAAGATAATATTTTTAATTTGATTCATTATTTAAATTTAGAAATCAAAAAATTTCACACATTTGATGATTTTGATATAAATTCATTAATGTACTCAGATAGTGCAGAAAATTATATAATGAATTATATAAAAAGTAAAAATCTTACTTATAATACAAAAAAATTACTTAAAGAAATTATTGTATTAGTTAATATTTTATACAATTTATACAATTATGATAGTTTAATATTTTATAATTATTTAAATAATTTAAAAGAGGCAGATAAAGAATCAATTTGGATGTATTGTAATGAGGCAAACGAAATTTTCTACTTATCTAGTGAAAGAAAAAATAACTTCTTAAAAAAAATTAATATAGATAAAGATCAATATGGAATGGATGATATACAATGTTTTATAAATAAAATACAATATAATAGTGAATATTTTTATAATTCATACAAATCTAAAAGGGAAGAAAATGAAAAATATAAATGGATATATGAATTAGTTTATAATAGAGATATATCTTTAAATGATTATAAAAAAATTATTTTAAAAAGAAATTACATAGAGAAAAATTGTGTTAAAAGAAAAAATTATAATAAAAATTATGAAAACAATAAAATTGTAAGTAAAAAAATAAAAACAACAAAAAATGTACATTCTAAATGTAAAAAAGAGTCAGAACTTTATCTTAATAATGAAGAAAAAAAAGGAGAAATAGGAAAATCAGAAAGTTCTAATATTAATTTCAAAATAAAATGTGAAAATTATAATTTGAGTAATGAATATCATATTATTGAAAAAAATGATTTTAGTCAAAAAGTTGATATAAATGAAAATACAGTAGCATACAACTGCGAAGAAATAAACAAAGAAAAAAAAATTGAGATAAATGAAGATAGAAAATTATTAAATAACGAATTAATAAATAATAAAAAAGAAGAAATAAAAATAGAGAAAAACACAATTCATAATAATGATAGTAGTGATAGCGCTAATATAGACAAAATTGATTACCCAATTGTTATAATAGTTGATAATTTTTATGCACAAAAAGAAATTTATAATCTATTGATACATAAAAAAGAAAATAATTTAGATTCAAACTTTCCTCTAAAATATGAAGAAAAAATTAACGAGTATAACATATCCGATTCTTCAATGAATTCTCTAAATAGTTCTGAAAAATCTTTTAAAAGTAAAAAAAATTTCTTTTTAGAAAATATTAATTATTACATATCTTATAATATGATAAAAAATAAAACGTTAAATCTAAAATATATAAAACCAAAAATTTATATTTTGTGCATTAATAAGTACTATGATAACATATATACTAGTGAAAATTTTATTAATAATTGCTATAAAAAAATTGATATGATTAATTTAGAAAGTCAGAAAAATTATATGAATAATTCTGATAAAGAAAAATCTAAGGAAAAGAAAGATAATGAAAAAGGTAATTCAAACCATTTATCATTTGATAATGATGATATATTTGAAATAAATGAATTTAGTGGTAATTTAGATTTCTTAGAATTGTTTTTAATGAAAATAAAACCACATAGAATTATTCTAACAAATTTAGATTTAAGTATATTTAGGAATATAGAAATTTATTGTGCAAGGTTGTTCCGATATCATGTATTTAAATTGCACAAAGAAGAGTGTTTTAAAGAATTAGCAATGTATGAAAAAAATAATTTAATGTATGATAACTTTCATAAAGATAATTTCTTAATTAAAAAGGAAGAAATATTACAAAAAGAAAAAAGTAATAATAATAATTATAAAACCATAAAGAAAATAGAAAGAAATAAAGAAATAAATAATTTTAAAATAATAAGAATATTAAGTGATATGTGTAATACAGTCGAAGTATTTTTAATTTTTTATAAAAATAGTGTATTTTATAACAGATATTTAAATAATATAAAAATAGAGAAAAATAATTGGTTGAACTTTATTGAAAATAAAAATAACCTTCGTTTTGAAGTAGATCGTAATATATTTAACAAAAACGAAGAACTTTTTAAGAAAGTTATAAATTCATATTTTTTATTTCAAAAAAAATTTAAAGAAAATAAGAAAAATTTAGTGAATTTTAACAAAGCATTATGTGAAGAATTCAAAAAATTTCAAGAAGTTAAAACAGATGAAAAAATAGAAAATAAAAATGTATTAGTAAATTCTCTAAATAGTAATTTTATAAGTATGGAAGAAGAAGATATTTTTATAGAAAATTATAAGTATAAGATTAATAAAAAAAGTGAAATTGTTACTTTTGATGAAAAAATTATTCAAAAAATTCAAGAAGTATTACATAATTTTTCAATAGATTCTTTTAATTTAAACTTTATATTATATAGTATCTTTAATAATACTAAACCTATAATTATTGTAGATATAAGAGAACTAAAATCTGATTTATCATATAAATTATATAGAAGTAAAATGCATATAATTCCTTATTCTCTATTAGTTGGAGATTATATACTAACAAAAAATATATGCGTTGAAAGAAAAACAATAGTAGATTTAATTCAATCACTAAATAATAACAGATTGCATAATCAAATTAATCAAATGTCAAAGTATTATTCTATATATGTATTATTAATAGAATTTAATAACAAACATTTATTTTATTTTTCCTCATTAAATGATAAATATTCTATTTATACTAAGTTAATTATTTTATGTCTTCAATTTTCTAAACTTAAAATTTTATGGAGTCCTTTTTCTCTTTTTACTGTTAAACTTTTCTGGTCATTGAAGGTAAATTCAGAACAACCAGATATTTTCAAATCGCTTCATATTGATATAACTTTGCAAAAAAATTCGCATCAACAAGTTGAAAGTTATCAAAAACAAAAAAATAAGCATAATGAAGAAAATAAAATTATAGAAATTAGTGAGGAAAAAAAAAAAAATGAAAATTTTAAAGAAATACTAAATAAAGAGGAAATAGACATTAAACAAGATGAAAAAGAAAAAACAGAGAAAGAAAAAACAGAGAAAGAAAAAACAGAAAAAGAAAATAATAATAAAGGACATACCAGCATAACTGGAGAACTAATGAATGAACAGATATATGGAAGTTCTGATGATGAAAGTATGAATATAAAAGATTGTAATTATGAAACAATAAATGATTTATTTGACAAAAATTTAAATAATATAAATAAATTAGATAATGAAAAAATATTTAAAAAAGTTGAAAATGCAACTAACTGGAACGCTATTGAAATTTTAAAATCACTCCCGGGGGTTACAGAAAAAAATATGCATCTTATAATAAATAATGTTAATTCATTATATGATTTATGTGAAAAAAAATTAGAAGAATTAGAAAATTATATGAGTAAAAATAATGCAAAACTGTTATATGAATTTTTAAATACAAATGTATCATAAAAAATGAAACATATACTTATTGTTGTCTCATTTTTTTCCCCACCTTTTTTTTTTTGCATCATATTTATTTTTATTTTATTAACTTTAAAATATTATTTATTCTTTAATTTGAATTACATTAAGCTTTTTTTTTTCAATCACTTTAGTATATTTTTGATTTCTATTATACTTATTTTTCAATTTTTATTATTCATTTTTAATTTGAAAATTTTTTATTGTATTTTTTATTTAATTTGAATTATTTTTTTAATTTTAATAAAATAATTAAAATGAAAACAAAATTTTTTCTTCTTTTTTTTTTGTTGTCCTTTTAATATCCACAATAATAATTTACAATTTTGAAAAAAATCAAAATATTTTTAATATAAGCTTTAGTATACAAAACCTCAAAAATACATAAAAAAAATTTTTTTTTTTTTAAGCTAAAATGTTATATATTTTTACTATGTAAAGTTTACAGATTAACTATTTTTTTGTGGGAAAAAATTCTCATACTTATTCTTGATTACCTTCCTATTTCTAAATTATGAATATAAACACTCATTTTCTTAATTTTTCTTTTTTTTTTATATATATGATTTAACTCTTCATATATTTTATTTTGTCTTAATTTTTAAATCTATTCTTTAACATTTATATTGTTATAATTTCTATTTATATTTTAAAATAATCATTGATAAAATATTTTTTTTTTAATATCAGGAGATACATATATATTATCTAATACTACTTTTTACGAAACTTCAGGAAAATGAGGGTAAATAAAACATAAATTATTTTTTTTTTTTAAATTATAATTCTTCATAAATTTTTTTAAAGCTCTATATTATTTGTGTAATTATAGTTCAAAAGAAAAGTATTTTTTTTTTATTCTTTTTAAGTCTACAACACAAACCTATTTGTAAGAATTTTTCTAAGTTATTATTCATCAATAATTTTATTGTTTTTTATTTAATAATATTTCATTTTAGTATGTAATTATTCAATTTAAATAATTCAAAAAAAAAAAAAAAAATAAAATTAATTTAGTATATAATAAATATACATAGTAAAAATTTTAAATATAATCTCTATAATTTAAAAGAGTAAATATTTTCTTTTATTTTCATTTTCTATAACGTTTTTAATAATTCTATTTTTTATTAATCCATTAATATAAATTTAAATAAAATGAAAAGGAAAAAATAGTTTAATTTTTTTTTTAATTTTTTTACAAAATTAATTTAGCTTTTAAAAAACTGAAAAAATATGAGTAATATGAATGTATTTAATATTAATACATTACGAAAATATTTTCTTTATAATAATATTATATTGTCAAAAATAAATATAATAATTACAATTAAAATTTGGTATTTTTATATTTCTCAAAATTCCATAATTTTAATCTTTTGTTTTTCTATTATTTATAAGAAAATTTTTTTTTTAAATAGCTATAGCCAAAATATTATTATTTTTACAGATATAAAAAAAAATTGGAAATATATTTTTTTTTTTATTTTTGTGTTAGATTTAAAAAGATATTTTGATTTCAATATATATGAGTTTTTAAAAAAAAAAAAAATATAAATAAATAATCTTATAAACAATAATGAGAAAATATTATATGAAAATTTCAAGTTTTAGTTTATTAGTGTTATGTTGAATATGTTATTATACACATAAATATATATATATAATTTTTTTTTTTTTTTTTTTTTTTCAAATGTTTTTCATTATTATATGTTAATGAAAAAATAATAACTGGAAAGAATAGACTCTATTACATTATATGTACATTTAATTTATATTAATTTGTAAATAGCTTTTTATTTTATTTATTTCTTTTTTTTTTTATGGAAGCATATAATAAAAATGAAGAAGAAAAAAAAGAAATTAAAAATAAAAATAAAATATTGATATGCGGATTAATATCTGGTATACTAACAAAAACAATGTTTGCCCCATTTGATAGGATAAAACTTTTTTATCAAATACAGCCAATGTTTTATCATTATAATACAAAAAAAAAAAAATTTATCCTTAAAAATACAAAAGAATCTACAAATAATAATATATTATTAAATGGAGTAGATAATAAAAATTTTAGTAAAACTAGTGAAATCAAAAAATTTATAAGTAATAAAAATATAGTTTTTCATAATTTCAAAAATTCACTGAAGGAAATAATAAGAACTAATAAGAAAAAAGAGAAAAAAATTTATATGACGAATAAGACATCACAGATTTATAAAAATTACAATAATTCAATAAATTCTCATAAAACTTTTAAAAAAATTTTATTTAATTATAAAAATAATTTATACTTAAATAATTTAAGTAAAAATTATAGATTTTTAAATAGTTATAATGTAAAAAATATGTTACAAAATAAATTTAGTTATTTAACTGGAAGAAAAGTAAATAATCAAACATTTAAATACAAAAATATTATTCAAAGTTTTATTTATATAATTAAAGAAGAAGGTATATTAGGATTGTGGAAAGGCAATTTAATTAATACAATAAGGGGTGGTTTAGTTTATTCTTCTAAATTCGGTACTAATGATATAATTAAAGAAAGTTATAAAAGAAAAAAAAAGAAAAATAATGAAACTTTGAACGAATATGATATAAAATTAGAAAATAGTAATAATTATACGAAAAATACCGTTGAAAAAAAAAAAAAAATTAACTATTATGAGAGTTTAACAGCAGGTTATGCATCAGGAGTAATTCAAAAAACAGTATCTTATCCGTTAGATCTTCTAAGTATTAGAATGGCATTAGGTATAAATGAAAAGTATTTAAGAAGCAATTTACAGTATAAAAGAAAATCAATTTTTAAAATAATTAAAGAAATAAATACAAATGAAGGATTTTCTGGTTTTTTTAAAGGATTTTTTCCAACATTATTAACAGGTGTACCATATGTAACACTACAAATGTTATTTTTTGATTTTTATAAAAATATTTTTCAAAATTATTTTTCTCACAAATCTAATTCGTTAAGTTCCATTGCCTTTTATTCTTCTATATCAGGATCGTTAAGTAATTTAACATCTTTAATAATTGTTTTTCCTGGAGATACTGTTAGAAAAAGAATGATGAATAATGGTATAGATAACAAAAATTATATTTATAAAAATACATTTCATTGTATTAAAAATATTTATTGTTGTGAAGGTTTTAAGAATTTCTATTATGGTTTATTTCCATCTATGCTTAAAGCTGTTCCTTCTGGGGCTATTCAATTTATGACTTATGAAATTCTAAAATATATGTTAACACAAAATTAAGTAAAAATCTTAAAAATAAAAACATCTTTAAGAAAAAAAAAAAAAAAGAAAGAAAAACATTTTAATAATATAATATTTTTTGTGACTATTTATACATAACTACTATTTTTTCTTTTTTTTTCCAAATAATATTTTTTTTTTTTTTTAATATTCTTTCAAAAAAATAATATTTTTAAATAAACTATTTTATTTTTTTAATGAAGTCTTTTAATATATATATATATATATATATATGTATATAATTTTTTTTAAATTCTTGTTACTTTTTTAATATTTTTTTTTTTTTTTTTTAATTTGTCATCTTTATATTTAACAGTATAAAAATTTTTCTACATTTACTTTTTAAATTTTAAAAAAATATAACATTGTTAAAGTTGTGAAAAAAAATTTACTAAAATTTTGCAACATAAAAAAAAAATATAGGTATATCAATATTTCTTATAAAAAATAATATAGGTATATCAATATTTCTTATAAAAAGTAATATAAGTATATCAATATTTCTTTTAAAAAAAAATATTTTAAATAAATTTCTTGTTAATCTAGTTTTCATATTTGTATTTTTATTTAAAAATAATATGTATATAAATAAGAGTATTATGTAACAAAAAAAAAAAAAAAAATAATAAAATTAAATAAAATAATTTGTTATATAAATAGAATTTGTATTAATAAAATTTGAAAAAAAAGTTAAAATTTGTTAAAATGAGAGAAGAAAAAAAAAAAAAAAATAATAATAATAATTAAAAAAACATTAAAATTACATAAATAAAAATATATAAATCTTTATATATGTTCTTTGTTAAACGTAGTACAATACGTTTTTTTTTTTTTTTTTTAGAAGGATATACATATATATAGATGTATATAATGTAATATTAAAATAATTAATATTGTTTTTTTTCTTTATAATTTTATTTTTCTTTTTAATTTTTTTTCTTTTTTTTTTTTTATTAACTTTATATTTATTTGTTATATATATATATATATATAAATCATAAGAAGATATATATTATTTTATGAAATGGAAAAATCGTTAGATTTAAGTAACTTTAATAAAAATGATAGGGAGAAGATATTGAGAAAAATAAATAAAGCAGAATATGAAGATACAATGAGCACATATAATTCAATTGTAGAAAGATGTTTTAACGAATGTATTACATCATTTAGGTCAAAACAGCTAGATAATAATGAAAATAATTGTATATTAACATGTGTTAAAAAGTTTTCAATTTTTTCCCAAAGAATTGGTATGAAATTTACTCAAAATTTAAATAATGAAATGCAGAAAAAAAGTTAATTTTTATATTAAAAAATCTTCAAAAAAAAAAAAAAAAAAAAGATTATATAAATTCTTTTATTCTTTTTTTTCTATTTATTCGAAAAACTTTTTTAAAGAAATTTTTCATAACATTTTTTAAATATGCTCAAAATGTTTTATATATAACTTTATAATCAATTTTAATCCCTTGTATATAATTAATTTTTAATTTAATAAATTTAATAAAATATCATTTTCTTTTTTAATATAAATTATTTGGTTTATGAAGAAAAATGTAATCTTTTATCAAAGTTATATCTTTAATAGATAACAAAAATTTATGAAAAACATGATTATTATTTTTGATAAATAAGAATGTTAAAAAATATTTAGAAAAATTAAATATGAATGAAAAGGAACTTTTAGATAACACATAAAAATGTATATCAGACATTTTATTCTCATTTTTATTTTCATAATAATAAATTAAAGACTCTAAAATTTTCATCATATGTTTCTCTTTATACATTGCTTGATACAGTGGTTGGTAATTGTTAAAACTTTCAATTAATTCATAGATTTTTTTATTTTGATATTGTAATAGATAAAATGAATAAAATATTCTTGAATATAAAATGTAATTAAGGTCACTTTTTATAAAAATGTCACAAAAAATATCTAAAATTTTATCAATTCGTATTAAATTAAAAGAATAATATTCTAAAATATATATGATGTTATTTATATAAATAGAATTATTCATCTTAATATTATATAAATTATTGGGATAGTAATTATTTTTTTTTATATTTTCATAATCAATATAACTAAAATTTACAAATTCATTATACTTTTTATCATAGTTATTTTTTTTATTATGATTATCATTGTGTTTCTTATCCTCATCTTTATGAATTCTTTTTAAATTTTTAAATTGATCCTCATAATTCATAAACTCAATATTTTTTTCAATACTTTTTTCTATTTCATAAAATAATTTCTCCATATTATGATTATTCGAACAGTTATTATTATTATCATAATTTAAATTTTCCATATTATCCTGAATTTTTTTTTCTTTGTGAATATTATTATAAATATCTTGGTTACTTAAAATAAATTCATTTAGAATGTTAATGAATTCATTTTCTTTAATTGAAAAATTCTGTAAACTTTTGCAAAGTATGCCAACTTCATTAATATTAAAAAATTTATAGTATTTATAAAAAAATTGCAAGGAATAATAAATTAAACTTCCATGTTTGTGATTTGCTTTGCTAAAAGACAATAACAAAAAACTTATTAATAAAGGTGTTAATTTAGTTGATTGTTTACCAACTTCTTCAGCAATTTTTTCTAAAATAAGTTTGTTTTTATCAATATTAGATAAAGCAGATGATATTAAACATAAGGATTGAACAGACATAAACTTAATATTTTTTTTCGTTATAATTTCTATATTTTTTAATGTATTTTTAATTGAATACATTAGATTAAAATTATATGAATTTTTTTTTAATAAATGTGTTTGTTCTTTCAATTTTTGTAATTGTTCGTTTTTTAATAAAATATTATTCTCAAGTAAGGATATATTTTTTTTTATATATTC